GGGCATGTCCTATTTTGACTAGCTTCTACTAACTGACAAATTAATTTGCAGCAAAATAGCATAGATTGTAATTGGCCTTTGATGTCTACAACAAAATCTGAATCTGAGACATGATTTATTTAGTATTTTACTCTGAATAGTTATACTTATTGTATTTTTACTAGAGGGTTCCTTCTATTCTATTTTCATCATTGACATTTCTAAAAAGCACATGGGTCAATGACCTATAAGAGTGTCCATGATAAATGAAAGAAAAAAAATCTTTTAAAAATCTGGTTTAAAAAAAACATGTGCCGAAATGTACTCTTTGTATTTGTATGTTGGTGTCATTTTATTATGTTTTTCAAAGTAAAAAGTTTTTATAAATATGATGAATTATTAATTCCTATACATCATAAATTCATAAACATCAATTACAACTCAAACGCTCACACTATCTGACCTAATGACCTTGACACAGTCATTATACAGTCTGCAGGGGTCCTTTTGACAATGTAATTTCCTTTTTTGTGCATGTTTCTCATGTTGGTTGGACCACATGACCTTGTTGTCACACTATTTGACTTTGATTTTGGTGCACTTTTTTATATTAAAAACATTGAAGCAGGTTTGTCGAAATATTTATTTTCATTTAAATATATATATATATATATATATTTAAGAAATGATAACAAATTATTATACCAAGCTACTAAAGGTTTGCTTCTCAAGAAATCCATTCTTTTAAAATTAAGCCTTTTTTTTTATTTCATTATGATATCAGGGCCATTGTATCACCCTGTCTTTAGTTATTTTACACTCTTAATTCTATAATAATGAATAATGCATTTTAATTCACAAACTTTATTTATTTTGTAATACAATAATAGGTAGGACACCTGTATATCTGCATGCTGATTGTTATGATGCTGGAGTCAAGTGATCTGAGTGCATTGTCACCTATTTTTCCAGGGCATGTATTATTAAGCAAATAATGGAAAGGTTCTCCTCATACAAAGCCCTGTCATGCAACACCTTTTTCATTGATTAGTGTTGATGTGTGTTAGGTCACGTCCCCAGTTTAATGCTGTCAGAGACCAAAAAAAACAACAACAACAACATCTGAAAGAAAGAGATACAGTGTCTCTATCCGTTTCTTCTGATTTGACAGTCTCCTGCTTCCTATCACACCGCTCGCTTGTTCGCATGTTCCTATTGGTTTGTTCATTAGTGACATTGCCGGCTACCCAATCCACTGTGTAAATTATTAAGTGCATTCTCCTATCAGAGTTTATTGTTTATTGTCTGTTGGGCCATGGCCAGTTGTTAGGATGGTGTTGATTGAGTCAAGACATCTCTGGGTTTGGTGTTCACACAGTGTGTCACTGTCTAGTGACGCAGAGTGATCAGGTGCTGCCTGCTAGGATATTAACCACAATTAAGAGGACCGTACTTTGTAAGTAACTCTTGTGCTTTTCGTACATGTTGTGTTTATGGAGATAATGCAACGTTGCTATCTGTTTTTTGAACAATGCGTAATTATTTGTTAATTCCAGATGTATCATCGCATGAATTGCTGTATTTGAGCACTTGGTTTGTCTCTAAACTTTTGTAATGTTGAAATAGCTTTTTGTTTCAAAACGGATATAAGTTCCTTCTAATTGTTTTCATTTGATATGATCTAAATATGCTCATAATTCTGATATTTTTCACAGCATGACTACTGAAGATTTTTACATGTTGTAGTCTGTCTTTAATTTATATTACTCATCACTGAACAATTTGAATTTAGTTTTTTATTTAATTGGTTGAAGAGTCTGTGGATGGTTATTATTCACTATGGTAATTATTAGGGAACCTACGTATATTACAATTCTGGCTGATACTTTTTTTCATGGCTAATAAATGTACCGACTACTTTGTCTTAATACATTGAAAAATGAAACATTAAGAATTAAAGCATCACAACAATTTAATGTACAGGATGTAAAATGTATATTCATTTTCATTTCATATTCAAGATTACATTTAAAAGTATAATTTAAATTATTAGTGATTTTAAAGATAAACTCTAAGTTAACATTAAATGATAGCAAATATAACCTAAATATAAAAAAGGGAAATGTGCATCCACAATTTAAATTCCATTATCAACCAATACCGATAAATATAATATAATAATAATAATAATAATAACAATAAACCTCTCTAATATCAGCCTGTAACCAATATACCAATTCTTTGTATACGCTGTATTTACAGTATGCTTGATTGAACTGGTATGTTAGCTTTTCTTCATAAACTGAGTTTAGCAGTTTACCTGATATTGCTTGCTTACTTGTAGTAACAGAATTCTATGTAAAACAGTTAACATAGAAAGAATGCCATCTTCAGCTCATTCGTCATCCTTTCTCCATTTTAACATAAACTTTACAGCACACAGGATTTTGCTGCTGTAGACGTACACATTGGACGGTTTTCTCTCAGTCCTCTAAATTCAAGAACTGTCAAACATGTTCATCAGATGTTTTAACTGAAGGTGTAAATGTGATTTAACATAGAATGTATCGTGTCAACACAAGTGTGTGGTCTTGAATTCCTTTAGCAAGCAGAGATATACACTCACCGGCCACTTTATTAGGTACCCCATGCTAGTAACGGGTTGGACCCCCTTTTGCCTTCAGAACTGCCTCAATTCTTCGTGGCATAGATTCAACAAGGTGCTGGAAGCATTCCTCAGGGAGTTTGGTCCATATTGACATGATGGCATCACACAGTTGCCGCAGATTTGTCGGCTGCACATCCATGATGCGAATCTCCCGTTCCACCACATCCCAAAGATGCTCTATTGGGTTGAGATCTGGTGACTGTGGAGGCCATTTTAGTACAGTGAACTCATTGTCATGTTCAAGAAACCAATTTGAAATGATTAGAGCTTTGTGACATGGTGGAAGTAGCCATCAGAGGATGGGTACATGGTGGCCATAAAGGGATGGACATGGTCAGAAACAATGCTCAGGTAGGCCGTGGCATTTAAACGATGCCCAATTGGCACTAAGGGGCCTAAAGTGTGCCAGGAAAACATCCCCCACACCATTACATCACCACCACCAGCCTGCACAGTGGTAACAAGGCATGATGGTTCCATGTTCTCATTCTGTTTACGCCAAATTCTGACTCTAACATCTGAATGTCTCAACAGAAATCGAGACTCATCAGACCAGGCAACATTTTTCCAGTCTTCAACTGTTCAATTTTGGTGAGCTCTTGCAAATTGTAGCCTCTTTTTCCTATTTGTAGTGGAGATGAGTGGTACCCGGTGGAGTCTTCTGCTGTTGTAGCCCATCCGCCTCAAGGTTGTGCGTGTTGTGGCTTCACAAATGCTTTGCTGCATACCTCGGTTGTAACGAGTGGTTATTTCAGTCACTGTTGCCCTTCTATCAGCTCGAACCAGTCTGGCCATTCTCCTCTGACCTCTGGCATCAACAAGGCATTTCCGCCCACAGAACTGCCGCTCACTGGATGTTTTTTTCTTTTTCGGACCATTCTCTGTAAACCCTAGAGATGGTTGTGCGTGAAAATCCCAGTAGATTAGCAGGTTCTGAAATACTCAGACCAGCCCTTCTGGCACCAACAATCATGCCACGTTCAAAGTCACTCAAATCACCTTTCTTCCCCATACTGATGCTCGGTTTGAACTGCAGGAGATTGTCTTGACCATGTCTACATGCCTAAATGCACTGAGTTGCCGCCATGTGATTGGCTGCTTAGAAATTAAGTGTTAACGAGCAGTTGGACAGGTGTACCTAATAAAGTGGCTGGTGAGTGTATGTGTGAAGGGTTTAACCTTACCAAACCTTTATACAAACTGTTTAGGCCTACATGGTTCTACCATTTCTGATTCTTTTCTTTCATTCCCCCAATAATTTAATTTCATGTATTAGAACAGAACATTGAGCAATACTTCATGGTTTCTATTTGTTTCAACTCTTATCTTTGAGTATTTCCCCTGAGTAACTGTCCAAAGCAACCAGTGAAAAAGAAAGACTTTAAATTGTTTTACACCGGATTTCCACCATCTTACTACCATATAGGATATATGGATTTGGTGCTTTTGCTGTAGTCTCACTCTCTTCATCAGCGTTCGTGTGGCCTATAAGGCAGAGAAGAGGATGCGAGGACCGTGTTTTTCCAGCATCCACTGCCTAAGCCACAGAAGAGGATAGCTGATGGAAACCAAATGTGCCATGGTGTCCACTGGCTTTGATTAAACCTTCACGCAGAGACAGATGCATCCTGATCGTGAGCGAGGAACTGAACTGCTGCTCAAAGGTCACGAAGGAAAGAGATTCCACTTCGCTAATGTAGTTTTGCCCCATATACCCACATTACCCCTCCGAAAGTTTATCTATTTATGAATTGCACAACTTCTGGGAAATGTATTCCTGCCTTTGCCCAAGCCGTGTCACAGCACATTTCGTGCTGTTTGGACATCAAAGTGCCGTGCAAGAGGAAATTGGGAGGACCACCTTGCAGAGACAAAGCAAAATAGCATGCTGCGGCATATCAGTGTTCCCTTTGATGCTCTGTGCGTGTGTGTGTTTTACAGAGAGCCCTTTGAGAGCCACATTTGATATGCATTCTGCATGGAGTCCATTAGGATATTACAGTTTCATCAGCGGTGATCTAAATGTTTCCATATACTCTGCATTTTCCCTCTGGTAAAGTGGGATCTAGATGTTGGGCTCAGGTACAACTATTTTGCCCCCTAGCTAGGGCCCCTCTTACTGTAATGCTCACATATCGCTACGCGGACCACAACACTGCACAAAAGACAGACCACAAATAGCTGTTTCTCATGTGTATGATTGGGATATTATGCTGTGCGATGTATCGAATGGCAATAATTGGGCTTTTATTCCATTTTCCTTACAGGTCTACGTGAAATAATTTGCTTTGATGGCACACTACCTGAATCGGTAAATATTATATGATAATAAAAGTATTGTATTGTATTGCAGCTCTGTCCAGCTGCACAGCCTCTGGAAGAGAACTGTCCTATAGAGGAAGAGCTTAGAGAGAAACCAGCTGTGTCCCGGCAACTTTGCTCTGATTATTACAGACAGATTACTAATCCACACAATAACATGGACAGTCTTAAGGTGAGTCTTGTACGTTTTTGAAAAATAACACGATATGAATGACGAAGCATGCCATTAGTTCTGTTCTAAAATTCAGTGAGCTGTTTCTCTGCTTAATTCCTGCATAGGTAGCTGCCTTCCAAGGGAGCGTTTTAACTGTGTAACATCTCTTAAATGACTGATTTCAAATGCTATACTTTGAAACAGCTCCATGCGCCACACAAAAAGGAAAAACATATCTGTCAATAGATTTCAATACAGTTTAACATAGCATGTTGCTAAGCTAACTGTGCAATACTGTAATAAGTATTAAAATACACAGTGCACAGAAATATTGAGTAAAATCCATAACTTTAATAAAACCAATAGAGTGTAATTTAGAATGTAATTTAAACTCCCTCTATGAGCAGCTCACTAGACTTTATAACAGAGCAATTATTTATTATTTAAATAGCAAAAAGCAATTATTTTGCATTAGATCAAAAAAAGTGTGCTTTAAGGCATTAGTATCTGACTGTAGTAAGTGTCGACATTCAATTGAATGCCTTTCCATTTAATTTTTACCCCACCAGCACCCTGAGACAGAAGATTCGCCTCAAGCCCGTTACCCCGCTCCACCTCTTTCACCTCCTCCACCCCCTTCCACCACTACCTCCTCAGTCAGATCACCTCCATCTTCTATCCCACATGGGAACGCTTTACACAATGTCCACATGGCCACTACTGGTGAGAAAGCCCTAAGGGGGCTGTTTAATACCCGTAGTGCTGCTCTGCAAGTTTATGTTCTGTAATCCTGAGAGAATTTTGTGGGCACTGCTGTCACCATTGACTCATCCTTCCTTAATTTCTCTTGATGACTTAATTCCAGTTCAATGAGTAATGGTAATCAGCCTATGTGAATATGATCAGAACATAACTGGAAACAGATGAGAGTAACAAATAATGTTCTTGTTCTGATTGTCATTGCAGTGGTGAAGAACCTTAGCTCCACTACGCCTGCAAGTAAGCCAGTACCAGAGAAAGGGAAACTGCTAATGGGAGAAATGAAACTGGGAGATGTGAAATCTATCGCCAGCTTTAAAAAATCTGTATTGACTGCAGATTTGACATTTTCAGTTAGTAAATTTACCATACACAGTTTATCATAATAACTAAGTCTAAAGGCCAACTACACTGCAAAGATAGACGCAGACCAATGGTGACAGTCACCAGATTAGAGCATGTCACTTCTCAGATGTTCCAAGACTGGAAAACGCTGATTCAGCATGTTCAATCGGCAAAAACAAGCTCCGACAAAAGCTAACAGACTCCGAAAGGGGTGACACACTGATCTGACAAAACCCAACGAAATGTCTGTTGCCGTCTGTCTGTGCAGTGTAAATTGGCCTTAAAGCTGTGTTCACACTAGCAAAATACTGTTGTCAGTCCTTTGAATTCTAAATGCAGTTACATGACCTATCCTATCCATAAGTCTGAAGTCACATGAAGTCACACTGAATGTCACGTTTCCAGATCCAAAAAAGCAAACGACAAACAGTGCTAATACACATTGACAGTGTGCTGTAGTACTCCCAAAAAAATCATGATCCTAACCCTTATCTCCATATGGAAATTTTAGATGGCCAGACAGTGATCTCTGTATCTTTCAAATATTTGTTTTTTGGGATTACGTGAGCCCGAAGACTGTACAATGAGTTTTTAAAAGTTTAGCTTAAAGGTGTGATATAATTGAATAGTGCTTACGTAGGCCAGCAGGAGCTGTAAACCTCACTCCCCTGGCTTCAAGAGGCGCGCTAGTGACTGATGCTAGCGGCTGCGGTATTTAGCGTCCTTGATAGCGTGCCTGCTTCCCACGCCGGAAAACCCGGTTTGAATCCCGCTCAAATGCTGCACTCTACACTCTAAGCAAGATTTGCCGAACTTGAGACTCGTTTAGACTCGTTCATTAGGACATCATGAAAGTCCCAAAGTCAGCATGTTGCTAAGCTAACTGCGCAATACTCTAATAAGCATAAACGTACTGTACACAGCACCATTAGTCCATAAAAATAAATCAATAATTGATTTGACTTTTATATTGATGCTAAAGCTGTTGTGTGAACTGAACACTTAGAGCGTTGTCTTGGTAAATACAGTTGTCAGTGACGTTGTCAGTGTTGACCATGTGAACATAGTTTATTTATTGACTTGAACTTTTATGAATGTACTGAATCACTTTATCATATATGTAGAAGAAAACCGCATTATTGTACAAAAAAGAACCAAGTTTATTAAATTCATGGTTTCATATTAGCCAAGCATGATAGTGCTGTTTTTGTTTTTTATGTACTTGACAGCTTAAGGGCACCAGTACTTGCCAATACATTATTGTCTTGCCTTTTCTTTTTTAGAATAAAATGGTTGTGTTACCGACAGAGGAGGCTAATTTGTCTGATATTGATTACCTGGTGCCCATGCACGATGAGAAGGGCAGACCTATAGCAGAATGGAAGAGACAGGTGATGGTACGACAGCTACAGGCCAGATTATTTGACCAGGAAACCCAGAGGATGAAGGTGAGCTACAGATAGTGCATTACATTTCTGACTGCAACTTTCTCCAGGTTGGATTTTAATTGGATGTATTGTATCTTATTAAACAGGAGAATGGTAGTAGATATTCTAAGATGGATAGTTGGAGGTTCTCCCAGGCTCACAATGCCATCCTGGGTCCATTTGGAGAACTTCTAACAGAAGAGGACCTCATTTATCTAGAGAAGCAAATTAAGAGTGTCTCGATGCATAAGAACTGCGAGGGCTATGAAATGGAGCTTGCTCATCTGGCCGAAGAACTTCGAAACATTCTCCCTGCACCGATAGTCAACATCACAGTCAACACCCAGTACAAAAACTCTACACAGACTCCTTTACCCGTTTGGTGCAACCGTATTTCAGGGATTGTGAAGAGTATGTCACTGCTTATGACCAACCTAACAGACCAGCCCTACTGCAAAATGCCAAACACAGAGCTTGTGAGTGTCTTCTCTCAGGCTTCAGAGAGGCAAGCCTCCACCAGAGGCAGGAGGGAGAAGATAGAAAACGAGATTCACCAGTTTGGGGTCTCTGTGAGGAACCTGAAGTCCAACTTTGAGAATCAGAATGAATCCTCATTGGAGGATTCAGGGAGAACAGAATCATTGGGTGACCAAGAGAAAGAACTAGTAGAGAGTGGTTTGGATGAGGTCTCTCAAAAACAGGAACAAAGACCAGAGATTGACCAGAGTGATGATTCAGAGATCGACTATGTAATCAGCGATGCCATGGAAAGTACAACCCTGCGAAAGGAACGTATTGTGGTATTGTTCCTGGGTCACTGGAAGAAGTCAGCTTATACTGTAACAGTGAGAAACGCTCAGAGGAAGCAAAGCATTGATTCGCTGGAGATATCTATGAAACCAAAGTGTGAACGCAAAGCTAGCTTGGATATCTCTCAGAAGAGGACCATGGAGAATGGCAAACTGGGGCACTTTTTCAAGCAGAGAAGTGCCATCAATAAGATGATTGGGAACTGGAGAAGCATGATCTCATTTGTACCGTCGCGGCAGATACGAAGACTCAACCGGCAGCAGGCAATTTACTCACCTGAGCAGTTCCTCCCCCGTGTGGATGGATCTCCCGTTGACTACGACACGCTGACACTCGACCTCTTCATGCTCGGCTACTTTCACATACTGGAGTTGGATTTGCCATCAGATGAGAGGAAAATGAGACACCTGCTGTGCTTTGAAGTGTTCGACCATGTGGGGCGTTTTACCTGGGAAACTGTCCGGGATTTTCATAAGGCTGTAATTCAGGACATTGAAGCTGGAAACCGGGAATGGAAGGATGGATTTGAGGACATTAAGGTGAAGTTCTTTGGAGATGGATCAGGCCAACCAGAGCTTGAACACTTAGAGCAGACTACAACGGTAGACAAGAGACCTGTGCCTAAAGTCATTGTACAGACGCCCACCCCAGATGAGGGTGATGTCCTGAAAAATAATGCAGATATTAGTTGTCTGACTAATGATGAAATTTGCAAATATATTGACCGTAGTTTTGCTTTCTGGAAAGAAAAGGAGGCTGAGATATTTGATTTTGAGGAATGACAATAAGCCGTTTGGGGCAGGGTGGTATGTACATAGATTTCTTATAATCTTTAAGTATGTCTATTTTTTTTTTGATTTGATGTAGAATTGGTACCAATATGTATATAGTTGTGACAGTAAAGGCCATTTGCCGGAAGACTGCCATAAACGGAAGTGTTTGCTATTCTGTTCTGATTCTTTCTCAGAATTTTGTGATTTTAAAAAATGATTTAAATGACTATTTCAGTTGAGTTTTTTTACACCTTAGAATCTGACATTTAGAGACTTACAGCAGACTGATGTGCTTTTATTTTGCACCAATATTGGAGGCTGCTTACTCTAATGATTAAATAAACGATCATCTGACTGTTTACTCTTGTGCAGAGTGTTGTGTGTATCTCTTTAAGAGCAGCTGTGAACTTAACTGTACTATTTTGCCTGGCCTAAAAATAGCAGTGTGAAAGACAAGCATGCTCTCCCAGTGACTCTGCAGAAGACGACGTGTCCCCCATTTCAGACAGCAGCAACAAAATAGACTCCCTTTTAAAAAAGTACTATGAATAATGTATGGTTTCTGCTTTCATTCGCAGGCAGGTAAGTTTATTCAGAGTATATTTTGTCTTAAAAAGAAGAAATTAAACTTAAATATTGCAAGTACTGTCAGTTGCTCCTTGGACAATAAACTTTGTATTTTAAGTAAATGGACCTAAACATTATTTGAAGTGTCTGTTGTTTGAGAAAATGTTATATTTGATATATTTGTGTTGCACATTATAGAAAACAATTAAAGAAAATTATTTTGAATATTAGGGGAAAATTTACTTTGAGTCATTTTGTTGTTCTGATTAAAGCAACGTCATAAACGGTTTGTGCAAAAAGCCACAGAGTAAGCTATCACGTCATTAGATTTGTGAAGTTCTTCAGAATCATAAACAACAATCATATTGGAAATTCACAAGAATGGCCATTTTTTCTTGTTTAACAGCCTCTGTTGATTCGCCAGTGATATTTCTTTTTAGTGTGTTATGTGTGCAAACTCTCTAACAGGCAACGGAATTCATCTTGAATGGTAGTAAGTTTAATGCTCACAATTATACTCTCCCAGTGTGCCTTTCAAATATATTGTCTTTGGCAAGAACTTCCATCTGATAATTTGACTTATATTGATGTTCTAACATGACTTCATTCTCTTCCAATTTGTTTCTGAAATGTTCTGTTACCAAGCAGAAAGACTGAAAATTTGTCCTCAGGTCACTGGAGGCTCCACACTGCTGTGATCATGAATGTCGCAATCAGATTTCATGTGACTGATTATACCCATTTGTCTTGTCCGATGTAGGTAAACACTGAAAACATCTGTTGGTTGGCCCTGAATGCATTAAGACCATAGGTCAGAGTGTCGTCATGGTGCGTAATGTAGACGACCTAGACTTCTGCCTCTCTTCCCACCCGCAGAGCATCTTAGAGGGCCTGCGCTCCCTCTGTTCTCAACCCAAACTTGTGGATGTCACCCTGAGCGCTGGTGGACGGGATTTCCCCTGTCACCGTGGAATCCTTGCACTCTGCAGCCATTACTTCCATTCCATGTTCTCAGGTGATTTCGTGGAGAGCATTGCTGCTCGTGTCGAGCTTCATGATGTAGATCCGAATGTATTGTCAACACTGTTGGACTTTGCTTATACAGGGAAACTCACCATCAACAAAAACAATGTGGAGGGACTCATGTGCACGTCCAGCCAGCTCCAGTTCCACACTGTCCGTACTGTATGCAGCCGATATTTGCAGCACCAGATAGATGCCACAAACTGCTTGGGAATCTTTGAGTTTGGAGAGATCCATGGATGCCCTGAAGTTGTTGCTAAAGCATGGGGCTTCCTCCTTGAGAACTTTGAGGCAGTGCAACAACATGAGGAGTTTTTGCTGCTGGAGAAAGACAGGCTGGTGGCCTGCCTGAAGGATGAAGATCTGCACTTAAGAGATGACCGGTCCTGTACCGAAGCGGTTTTGGCCTGGGTCAGGCATTGTAGAGAAAATCGGATCTGCCACCTGCGAGAATTGTTGAGCTTGGCTAAGCTTTCCCTCCTCCCAGAATCCTACCTCACTGACAACTTGCTCAAAGAGCCCTTGGTGCAGAACTCGCTAGAATCCAAAGAGTTGGTGGAGGGAATATGTAGAGAGGTCAGACAAATCTATTTTATTGAGGTTTCTTAATAATGTTTCATTCTACAAAATACATTTTGTGTTGTTGTTTTATTCTTCAGAAACGAGAAATGATAGGAGGTGTGTCAGAGCAAAGAGTCACTCAGAATGCCCTCAACCTGCAGGAGGTTTTATTTGTGATGGGTGGTCCCTCGCTGGATGACTCGGACGATGAAGACGAGGATGAAGATGAAGACACAGATAGAAGATTGCACCCCAGAAATTGTTGTTTCTACAACCCAAAGCTTGGTAAGGACAACTTCAGCTGGCACATCAACTCCATATAGGGAGAGTTACCGTAATGTGGAACGCTTAAGATCTGATGTGCATACTACCAGTCAAATCTGAATACACTTAAAGGGGTAATTCACTGCTAATAAGATGCTCCTTTAATAAACTTTAGATGTATGCAGTAGAAAAAGAAAATTGTGGTGTTGCCTTTTGTCAAAAATGTAGGAAAACTACACAACACCCATAATGTGAGCAGGATTTTAATGTATACAGTGCATGCATAATTATTATGCATGTTGAAATTCTGATCATATTTTTTTTCCAAGCACATTTTACCAATTCCAAACTACATCAATCTTAATAACTACTATTAATCTTGTATTTAATCATTTTTAAGTGATATTTAATTGTTCAGGAAGGCTGGAAGTGAAAAACGCCTTATATTCAGGTGTGCGTAATTATTAAGCAGGTTTTCTTTTACAGTTAAAATGGGCCAAAAAAGAGATATAACTCGCACTAAAAATTAAGGTTTGGACAGCAAAACGCTCATTAGTTCAGCAGTGTCATTCAAAAACAGTCCAAGAAGAAAAGACACATGTTAACTGCAAAGAAAATTTAGAATTAAGGTGAAGAATTAGATGTGAAACCATCAGGAACTCTTTAGTCTCCAGTGTCACCATTCACCAGAACGGCAACATACCTGGAGTCTCCAGAAGTACAAGGTGTCCGGATCTCAGAGACTTTGCTATGGTAAAAAATCCTGAAATATGACCCACACTTAAGAATCACAAGCTGAAGTGTTGTGAAATACATGAAGACTGTTTATAGACAACCTATCTGTCTGAAGGCTTTATAGACAGATAGGTTGAGAGTGACTCTTCAGGGACCAGCACCAGTTCAAGCCAGACAACAGCAGCGGTGGCGAAGGAGTCGTGCTGTGAGCTGCTACAATGAGCAATACGGACCTTTCAGGGTAGGAGATGGACTTAAAATCAACTCCCAAAACTTACTGCCAGATTCTGAAAGATATATTCTTAAAACAGTGGTACGACAGGATATCGTGCTGGTCTTTCAAGAGTCACTCCCAACCTATCTGTCTATAAAGCCTATAAAAAAAACAAGTCTTCATGTATTTCACAACACTTCAGCTTGTGATTCTTATTAAGTGTGGGTCATATTTCAGGATTCTTTACCATAGCAAAGTCTCTGATATCCTGACACCTTGTACTTCTGGAGACTCCAGGATAGGTTGCAGCTCTGGGAAATGGTGGCACTGGAGACTAAAGGAATTCCTGATGGTTTCACACCTACTGTAATTCTTTTTTTCTTTTTGGCAGTTAACATTTCTTTTCTTCTTGGCCTGTTTTTGTATGACTCTGCTGAACCAATGAGTGTTTTGCTGTCCATTGGCCACACCTTAATTTTGCCATTTCTAATATTGCATTAGTATTTTATTCTTTTCATGAGCATTTAATATAATTTTTGACTTTTCAGGCCTTTTTTGGCCCATTTTACCTGTAAAAGAAAACCTGCTTAATAATTATGCACACCCGAATACAAGGCTTCCACTTCCACTTCCAGCCTTCCTTAACAATTATATATGACTTATAAATGATTAAATACAAAATAAATAGTAGTTATTAAGATTGATGTGGTTTGAAATTGGTAAAATTTGCTGCGGGAAAAAAATATGATCTTGCACAATTATGCTCTCTCTCTCTCTCTCTCTCTCTCTCTCTCTCTCTCTCTCTCTCTCTCTCTCTCTCTCTCTCTCTCTCTCTCTCTCTCTCTCTCTCTCTCTCTATATATATATATATATATATATATATATATATATATATATATATATACACAGGTGAAACTCGAAAAATTAGAATATCATGCAAAAGTTATAATTTTGATGATTATGGCTCACAGCTTATGAAAACCCCAAATTAAAAATCTCAGAAAATTATAATATTACATGAAATCAATTAAAAAAAGGATTTTAAATGCATAAATGTCGGCCCTCTGAAAAGCACAATAATGCATATGTATATAGTTAAATATACTATTAGTTTAATCTTTTAATTTGAATTACTGAAATACATGAACTGTTGCACGCTATTCTAATTTTTTGAGTTTCACCTGTATATATGGGGTCTGTAGTTTTCACAAAAGCCCTATGCTGACAAATAAACAAGTAACATGTAAAATTGTCATTTTTAAAAGGGTACATACGATGCTTCACCTCTTGATGCTGGTTAAAAACAATATTCATTATTCCATATCCTTTGATGACCTTTACTTTACTTATTACAAAATGTTAAAAACAGTAATAAAAAATGAGCATGTATATCCACACTTTTAATTGGTAGATGAGATCTCATTTACCCTACCATACGCTATATACTGTATACATGTGCATTTTTAAAAAGATTTTTAAGGTATATTTTATTCTTTTTTTCCATAGGGCAGTGGTTTCAGTTACCCGATTTCCCCAACTACAATAAATGGGGTTATTCTGTTGTCTCCTTAAACAGCAATGTGTATGTCACAGGTGAGCTGAACTCTTTTCATAAGATATGTAACCATTACCTAAGGGCTGTAACCCCCATATCAACTTAGACAACTTTGAAATGATACAAA